TTTTTTTGTAAATTTTCTTTTTTTTTTTTTTTTTTTTTTTTTTTTTTGAGAGAGAGATTTGTTATAAAGTACATGAGCTTGACAGAGAGGTAGAGAGAGACAAAAAGTCAGAAATCACCTTCTCCCCCAGAGAGGATGGCCACACCACAGTCACCTCTCCTTCATTCTCCTCCCAGGATTCTGGGCACACTGGCAGACATGCCAGGTATGAAAACTGTTGGGTCCAGGACTTGAACCATGGACAGCCACGTGGGAGTCCAGCACCTTAACCACTATGCCACCCGCTGACCCCACCAAGTTTTTAACCACTATGCCACCTGCTGGCCCCACCAAGTTGCTTATCAATTTGTCCACTTGTCCAGTATCTTAAAGTCACATTATCAGGACCAGCAGTTGGTGTAATGGCTATGTTGCTGGACTCCCATGTAGTCGACTGTGATTTGAGTCTTGGACCCGGTGGCTTAAACTCCCCGTGGGCACGTGTGTATGCATGCCCAAGATCCCGAGAGGAGAATGGAGGAGAAGGGATTTGTGGCATGGATATCCCCTCTAGGGAGTGATTTCTTGCTTTCTGTCTATCTCTCTCTGTCTTTCTGGCAAGCACACTCACCCTATAGCAAAAACCTCTCCTCCCCCCCAAAAAAGTCACATTATCATTATTATTTTATTGACAAATTTTATTGAAAGCAAACTTCAAGTTATTAGGGCCAGGATTCTAAATGAGGTTGGCCAGGTGGGAGCTAGCTCCTTTAACCACTAGGCTATGGGGCCAGCTCACACATCATTTATTTATTCATTTTATTAATTTCTAAATAACTATTAGTGGAGCCTTGTGAGTCTGTGTGATTGCATTAGATTCACTGCCCTTGGTAAAGACAATAAACTTCCAAGGATTGCTACCATTGTCTTGGCCATTACTCGGTCATCCCTCTCTTATGTTCTGCTGCGGAAACTCCCTCGTCTCCCCTGGCTGCATCAACTGTACTTCAATATGCCTACCCAGGGTGCTTCTTTTAAATCACCTCAAAAGTGTGCAGTGTTAACCTCAGGCAGGTACGAGGTTGGAGTGATGTGCACACTCCTTTGATGACTGAGAATAAAAGAGTGACAGTCCAGAGAAGGGCAACTAAATGTGATTTGGACAAGGGTTTTCAAAGCTTTGATCTGTTTTGACTGAGCAGAGGCCAAATAAACATTATCAAGTTAACTATAGATTTTCTAACGTTGCCCATTCTCTTTCCAATGGAAATTGCATATGAATTTTGGTGAGTGATAAGACTGACTTGGGAATGGAAGGAAGGTCCTTTCATATCTTTCCCCAGTGATTGGTGTTGCTAGATTAACGTTTCTACATTGACTTTGCAGAAGAATGATGGGCAGTTCACTGTGATTCAGCTCGTTGGCATGCTGAGAGGCATCGCTGCAGGAATGAAGTACCTTTCTGACATGGGCTACGTGCACAGAGACCTTGCTGCTAGAAACATCTTAATCAACAGTAACCTTGTGTGCAAAGTGTCTGACTTTGGACTTTCCAGGGTACTGGAAGATGATCCTGAGGCGGCCTATACCACAAGGGTAAGATCTAACAGAATATAACACTAGACTAGAGATGTTTAATTTTTAAAGATTTTTAAAGAAATAGCAAAAAGGGCATTGCTCTGACAGAGTCAGGAAGAGACAGCAAGACAGAGACAGAGAGAAAAATCGAAAGTCCAGATCTCCTTCTTAAGTATCACCAAATTCAAATCTTAAACTTAGGTAAGAAAAGTATTCACCTTCTAAATCTCAGTTATTTATGTTTCTTAAAGACACTGAAAATAGAAAGATTGAGATCAGAATGGATGCAGTACAAATAATACATTGTACATTAGTACAAATAATATAAAGCTTTAAGTGTGAAAGAAAATATTAAATATATAGTCTCCTACAATAAAAGCAGTATTATATTAATATGTATGCATAGATACATATATATTTATGTACATATATATTATACATTTATGTACATATATATTATAAATGATATAATAAATGTAGGGTGTATATGCACTTATATACAAAGATATAAAAATGTATAGCATTATTGAATAGTTTAAGCTCTCTGCATTATAGTGTCCTCTTTTGTAAAATAAATGCAGAAATATATAGACCCTGTATTTTAAGGATTTCTGTTTGAGGGGGTGGGAGTAAAAGAGCTATTTCTTCAAAAAAATGGCAATACAGTGGAGTTCCGATGCCTAATTACCTTTCTTAAATACTATGAAATCCAATAGCTCATATCTATGGAAAATCGACCACTAACTCACATTGTCATAATTAGCATAAATCAATACTATTTTCCAGCAAAGTAATTGCTTGCTGAATTGATACAGTATATAATTGACTTTTTTTTCATGTACAAAACTGTAGACATTACTGCAACAAAAATTTCTGGGCAGTCACTGATACTGTATTTCTTAAATTTGGATCCCATATGATGAACTATATTTGTTTAATTCTAAATATTTCGATGTCATCAGGTTAGATATATCAGTGTCTAAACTCTTTATGATCATAGGGATTTACCTCATATCCTTTTCACTATACAATTTGGTTAACTTTTGTTTCGGTACAGAACACTTTGCCATTTCATATGCTCAAATTAAGATAAATGTCTTACCTGTTCTTATCTAATTCCACTCTTTAGAATTACATCTACTGACAGCCTAACAATTTTTATAGATTATAAGGCGATTTTTTGTTGGTCTTTTTTTCCATTTTGCTTTCTGACTTATGGTCACTTGGGGATCTGTACTATTATACAATGAAGGGCAAGAATAACTTCTCTGTGCAAACGAACCCTTCCAAATGTCAGCATAATAAATCAATAAATTAATTGATGGAATATTTTCTCTTCTTCGAGACCTATCATTGTCATTATTTCCATTAAGTGAAACCTCGATTAAAAATTCTTCTGGGATTAGAGTTTCACTTACTAAAGGTGGTCTTCACTAGATTGAGGTTATAGACAAGTCTTTTGCCAATGTTTTTGGTTAATGTCTTTGTTAAGTGCCAAAAGTAGATTTTTCCAGGTGTGTATCAGTGTGTTTGATGCAGGTTGGGAGGCGAGACAAAGATTCTGATACCCTCATGACTTATCCTCTTGGGGCCAGCAGGTGGTGTGGTGGATAAGGGCACTCATTGGACTCCTATATAGCCAAAGGTGGTTTGAATCCTGGACCTGGTGACTTGCTTTCTCACTTTCTCTCGCTCTCTCGCTCTCTCGTTCTGTCCCTCTCTGGCCAAATTTAAATAAATAAATAAAGTTAAATAAAATAATTCTTTAAAAAAATGACTTATTCCTCTGCTATGGTGTATAGTGGCATCTTACATTATAGAGATGGGAAGCTAAGGGAACTCTAAACTCCTTCAATAGCCAGAGGAACAGGAGAAAATCATGGGCTACAGTTTAACATAATCAGCAAACTCCAATTCTAAGAGGAACAATAGCCACACTCTACAGAATATCACAACTCTGTCCATAGCTAGGCTTCATTTTGTGATCCTGCCTAAAAATATTTAATTAACAATAAGAAGCTTCAGAAAAACCTCCTTCAAATGGTGTTGCCAAATAGCTAAGAAGCAAATAATGCAAACCTAAGTTCAACTTCCAGAATAATTTCAAGCATGACATAATATTCATACTTCCTTATAAGTCTTGAAACTCCGGTTCACAAACAGTAATTTAAATCCTTTTTTTCCCCTTGTATGTGAATTAAATCACTCTCTTACTGCAAAATAGGAATTATGTGTTAGTTTTATTATAAGAAAAGATTCAAAAGCTATCCTCTACTTTCTCTGTCTTTCTCTTTGTTAATATATATTAGGTTATAGATAGAATATTTGGTTATCTTTGATTGCCTGGTTTTAAAGAGTAAGAAAAAATAAAACCCTTCACCTGAAAATAGCAATATAGAGAAGGTGGATTGTGTGCACTGAGAGAAAACATACAAATATTTTATTATGTAAAAATACCCCGCACTTGCGCCAATTGGTGGCATGGTGGTTGAGGCAGCTGAATTTCACAGGGCTGACTTCCTGATTTGAGTCCTAGACCCTGGGGACTTGAAAAACGCACTGGGCACATGTGCATGCATACCCCTAATCTCAAAAGCAGAATGGAAAAAAAGGGATTGCAGTGTGGCCATCCCACAGAGGGGTACTTCTCATTTTCTCTCTCTGGCGAATGTACACATCCTATAAGAAAGTAAAAACAAACAAACAAACAAATTTGATATTGTGGCTTTCCTCTTCAATCCAACTTTGATCATTTTCAGTTAGTATGAGTTAAACAGTATAACCAGATAAACACAAAAACATACCAGAACAAAAGAGGAGACAAGTGTGTCTAAAAGAAATAACACCCTGTTGTGGAAAAGTATATATAATTCTAAGGTTTTAATACATCTGATTTTCTTGCTTGTCTTGTTAACCGTTAAAACTTTGTAGGCTTACTTTCAGCCACCTAGACTTTTCATTTACATATCTGTATTAAAGAAAATAAGCACCCAGGATATTTGAGTGCTTTAATCTCCTTATTTGCTTAACTGCTTGTTTTCTCCTACTTAGAACTGCCTTCCTGAGTACTGTGATTGAGATGTGGGTCTGGTATGCATTCTAGTAGTCAAACAAAATTTAAACTAGAAACCTTCTGGACAGTCAATTAGTAGTTAGCCTACACATGCTTACGGGCTAAGGGATGTGCAAAGGGATTGCGTGCTGTCAAACAGATTCACTTAAAAATGTTACATCTCTTTCTAAATCTCTCTAGTGACACAGCCATATCCTTAGATTCACTGTGTATGGGGATTATTTTGTAATTTTTTTTCCTTTTTGCATTTTCAGGGAGGAAAAATTCCAATCAGATGGACTGCCCCAGAAGCAATAGCTTTCCGGAAGTTTACCTCTGCCAGTGATGTCTGGAGCTACGGAATAGTCATGTGGGAAGTCGTGTCTTACGGAGAGAGACCCTACTGGGAGATGACCAATCAGGATGTGAGTATGGAGCTACTTTTTCTCACACTGATAATGAAAGTGCTTTGTTCTTTGAGTCAGGACACTTAACAATGTATTTTACTTCAGAAAATGACAGTTGCTTCAAAAAACAACAACAACATACGTGGCCTAGCCTCTAATCTGTGTTGTTCTCATTGGAATATCCTTTATGCAGAAACTCCAAATGAGTTGGTACAAAGGAAAGTGAGTTACAGTTATATCAAAACTCAGACCCATCCCAGACAGTTCTGCTGTTCTATAGTGATGTTTCATTCAATGTATGTCAGTATCATTTTCAAAGATGCAGAAAGAGCCATCAAAGAATGAATACTGACAGGCAAGTTTTTTATGATTTGCATTTGATAAAAGCAGCTAATATCCCAAACCAAAAGGATGAATGATATCGATTTAATAGTGGATGCTCTTAGAGGATGAAAAGGAATAGTCTATGTTTCTTTAAATTAAAAAAATGTAAGAAGAGTTATACTGTCTATTTAAATTGGGAGAAAAACAGATTTTCCCCCACAATGGAAAAATAATTCATGCTTAAAATAATAGAATCCTAGAATTAAAGGAACCATGAAAGAGTTGTCTATTGAAGTTCAGAATGTTTTATGATATGTTGCCTGACACATGGCTTTTTGTAATTTTCCATTATTAGTATTCAGAGAGTCCTTTCCATTATTGGGTCATATGGAAAGTTTATATTTTTCTTTCAAATAACAATTATAAAGGCAGGTAATATTTACTGAGATCTGATACATTGTCTTAAATTCTTCACCACCTAAAATCTCAGTACTGCTTTATGACACCAGTACATTGAACAGTATTAATTTAGTAGTGTACTTATTTGAAACATTTTTTTCTAGTTATTTCTCTTATTCATATGAAGTTGCTCTCTCCCATGCCTTCAGATGTTGTTAGAATGTTACCATAGCTTTCTAGCTGTATTCTGTCCGAACAATAGTCTGATGGCAGTAATTACAACTCATTTTGCAAAATAGAAATTCTAGTGCAGTCTAAATCAAAGTCAATCCCATATTCATGTCAAACTGTTTTCTACAACTACAGGGCCAATCTGACCCTAAGTACCTAGAGTAGGAAAAATGAGTAGTCAAGATTTTGTTCCCCCTCCACTGCTGGAGTTTGCTTCTGGGTTCTTCAGGATTGCTTTGGCTGGAGAGGAAGGCAAGAGGGACAAGACTGTTTTCCTAACATTGGGCTGTTGGGGGAGACACCCAGACATGGTTGTCTAGTGAAGAACATGTCCTAGTACTTCAAAGACCTTTGATAACAGGCTTCTTCCATGCTGGGCCCCTCAAGGAGGAGGATGGCTTCCAACTGACTTCTCACAATTCCTCTCACTTGGTACCTCCTACCCCCAAACCTTAGTCTCTTACTGTATCATACATGTGTCTGCTTTGTCTGGGGAAGCTGTTCCTGTTGGATACCCCAGTGTTCCCTCCCTCCTGTTGCAGCACCCAGCCTGCCTCCTGCAAACTTCTGCAGGTGAGGAGCCTGGTCTTACATCAGCTTTCCCAAGGATTTCATCATAGCATCATTTTTCCAAAAGCTAAAGCAAGTTGGGCAAATTCAAGCATACAGCAAGCTACTGTATGCCCCCCTCTTCTTGTAGACACAGTGGCTACACTTGGTTGGGTTTTTGTTTCTTTTCTTTTTTTTTCTGGTGTGTGTGTGTGTGTGTTCTCCTCATGTGGTTTGGGGAAGGGAATGATGACTTGTGTTTCTCTTAATCTGGAATAACAAGTATCTACTGCGTCCAACGTTATGATTTTAGAGGTAGGACTGTGTCAAAAGTATCATTCAATTCACATTTATTTCTGTTTACATTATTTATATTTATGTTTAACAACCCATCAGAGGGATGCTATTTTTATTCCTGTTTTACATTTGAGAACCTAAGGCTTAGGGAAGGCAAATTACTTTCTTAAAGTTACAAAAATAATAAAAGTTTCAAACTGATTATCCTTTTTTTTTTTTTTTTTTGGTAATCTTGCCATTATACTGTCTCCAATTGAATTAGTGTCTATCTCCTCCTTTTCACTTCTAATCAATGATCAGCCTATCTGAATATAAAATATGAAATACTCAATTCAGGATGTGATGATTACTCTAATCTAGACTAAGATCAGACCCATTTCCTATTTGCTTCCCCTAACAAGAATACTTCAGAGAAGTGCCAAATGCTAACATGATTTACAGAGCATGGTAAGGTTGGCTAATCACTTTTCTTGAGGCTCATTTCAATGTCATTATAACTATTGTGTGTGTGTGTGTGAAAGTACTATATTATTTTCTGCCAGAAAGATTTCCTATGCTGGTCCTACCATGTGTCAACTTCACTCATTCACTCAAGGGAAGGAAGCATTTGTTTCTTATTTACATAGTTAACTCCTACTCTCACTTGACATATTTTCACTTTTTTTTTTTTTCAGAGGTTTTTGGGTTTTGGACTATAGGGCATTTTTTTTTTTTTCAGAGGTTTTTGGGTTTTGGGCTATAGGGTGTAGGTGCTCGCCAGAAAGACAGAGAGAGACAGAGAGACAGAAAGCAAGAAATCACCCCCCAGGGCTGATGGCCACACCACAATCCCTTCTCCTCCATTCTCCTCTAGGAATCTTGGACACACATGTACCCAGCATGAGTTTAAGCCACCAGGTCTGAGACTCAAACTACGGTCGCCTACATGGGAGTCCAGCGACATAGCCATTACACCAACTGCTGGTCCTGAGATATTTTCACTTCTGATCCTCTCTGAATTATTAAACTTTCCCAACTGGATAGCAGATCATCCACAGTACTGATGATTATGCCAGATATAGTTGTAACAGTCACAGTTAAAATGAAATACTAAACATTAAATAGATATGGTGCTAGGTGAAGGTTCATCTCTGTTCCTACCAATCTTGACTAGGCTTGCCAACACCTCTGGGGGTCGAGTGTATAACAAGTACTACCTGCTCTTTTGCCTCCTGAGTCTGGCAAGCTAGTCCAAACGTTTTCTCACCTGCCAAGTAGCAGGAAGGAGCCCTACTGCACTTAAGCCGGCAACACATCTGCTAAAATCTCGCTGGCCAACCCCATAATTAGAAGACTCACTGTGGGTGAAAACTATAATTAATTACATGAAGAAATACATTTTAACAGGATGGTGTGAAGGATTTGGGACACATTCCTTCTATCCTCACGTCTCGTTTCTTTAGTCTATAGCTTCCCTGGTGCAATTGATTGCCTATGTAATAATTCTCAATGTTGCTATCATATGTCTTTCTTTTCTGTTTTTATTTATTTGATGCTTAATAGCCTCTTTGTAGCATTAGACAGTCTTACTCTCATAGGTAGTCTTTATTAATTTTATTGCTCCTTTTTCCATTTTTTGTTCTTTTTTTTTTCTTGATTTTAGCTATTTGAGTGTCTTGATACTTTTCCAAATAATAGTACTTCACACTATTTAGAAATACACAAGTGAATGCTGGTGCAATATTTTCAGAAAGTTATATGAGCAAAAAACCACTATTTTGTTTTTGGCCAGGTTTTCCAAGAATCTAAAAGAAATTTACAGAATTTGATCATATAATCATAGATATTTCTGAAATGTCTGTGTTTAATGGTGTCCAATCCATGCTTGGTCATTTCCTCTGCAAGTCCAAGATCAGCAGAGGCATTAGTTTCTAAATACAGCACTAAGTTTGATGTGTTCTAATTTCTATCCAAATTCGTATCCAGGAAACTTGACAGATCAACTGCATTTGAAGATCGAGATCACTGAGTATTTTCTTAGAAGAAAAGCCTCAGAAAGCAAAGTCAAAATACTGATTTGGCAGCTTCCCATGATATATCCCGTAATCTCTACAGATGCTATCTGATTCTAAAAGGGCTTTGCCACCATGAAAATGCTACATTACTGAGACATGCAGGATAATCTAAATCTCTCAGAGGAGACCTTCCTCTGTATCGGGGGACAGGATGCAGCAGTAGGTGTCTTTTGATTTAGGATTACTGCTACTATCACAGAGAAAAACTATAACACATAATAAAAATAAACTAGAACAACTCTGATGATTTTCGGTAAATACCAGACCACGAGCCTTGATTCAAGCTCAATCGATGCCTATGTATATTGGTAGCAAACATTTCAAATGTCAACCATTTCCCTGAACCTAAAATAAAAACCAAATTACAGATTTTATTTTGTTTCCTTTTTAGGTTTAGTGACAGTATCTTTATCTTGTATTTATTAGGGAGTGGATAACGCCATATAGTATACTAAGCAGATAGTTTAAAATGTTTGTAAAATTAAGTCATCAGTTTTTCATCCTTCTCATGTTAGAATCCTGTCCTTTATTTATGCAGTGAGTTTTTTGTGCATTCTCTTTCCTGTGAATTTTAATTCCGTTGTTTTATTACTACTTTTATTAGACTAGTTCTTAGTTTCTTTTAAGACAACAAGAATATTAGATTCCAAAAGAAGTCAACCTACTATGAAGCAGATGTATCCTGTAGTATTGTTTCAGTTTTTGCTATGACAGACATACACGATCTTCATTAATTAAGAGATATATATGTATACAGTGTATAGATTTATCACAGGAACATTTTATAGTACACAAAGAGATAGTATGTTGTAATTAAAGTAGGAGTAGTAGTTTAGTTCTCAACCAAATAATACAAATTTCTAAAATTTAACAGCAAACAACTTTATCAGCCTCTTAATTTTGGTGTATTAATTTCTAAAATGAGTGTGTTACACCAAAGAATATTGTTTTTTTTTAAGATAATATTTGTCTTCTTGAAATAGTGCTCCCACAAATATAAGTAATTGGGTTTTCTGTTTATTGGGTTTTTTTTTTAGAGAGAGATTTTTACTATAGAGAGTGTGCACTTGCTGGAGAGACAGAGAAAGACACAAAGTGAGAAATCACCCCCCCCCCGGGGGGGGGCGGGCCACACTACAATTCCTTTTCTTCCAGTGTTCTCTC